TGTGGTGGACAAGGACGGGGACGACTGAAAGGTCCTAATGGCTATAGGGGGGATGAAGAGCCTAATAAAAAATTCTACAACAACACTTAGCAAACCGGTTAGACAATTATGAGGCGAAGCAAGTGTTGCGCTAGCCTACTAAAATTGCAAGCCACCTACCACAATTCTAGTTTATATAGTTTCTATCCACACAATAGCTATGACACTACACTAAGTTAGTGTGCTCCCAAAAGCTAACTAAAGAGCCACACTAACCAAACTAACAAGCTCTCAAAACTAGCTACACTAAAGAGCTTGACAACTAGTTTGCGGTAATATAAAGAGAGTGAGCGAGAAGGTTATACCGTGGTGTCAAGGAAGGAACCAATCAATCACAAGAATAAATAACAATGAAGACCAATCACCTCGGAATCAGATGATGAACACAATGATTTTTTACCGAGGTTCACTTGCTTGCCGGCAAGCTACTTTTCGTTGTGGCGATTCACTCACTTTGAGGTTCACGCGCTAATTGGCATCACACGCTAAACCCTCAATAGGGTGCCGCACAACCAACACAAGATGAGGATCACACAAGCAACGAGCAATCCACTAGAGTACCTTTTGGCTCTCCACCGGGGAAAGGTCAAGAACCTCTCACAATCACCATGATCGGAGCCAGAGATAATCACCACCCTCCGCTCGACGATCCTTGCTGCTCCAAGCCATCTAGGTGGCGGCAACCACCAAGAGTAATAAGCGAATCCCGCAGCGAAACACGAACACGAAGTGCCTCTAGATACAAACACTCAAGCAATGCACTTGGATTCTCTCCCAATCTCACAAAGATGATGAATCAATGACGGAGATGAGTGGGAGGGCTTTGGCTAAGCTCACAAGGTTGCTATGTTAATGCAAATGGCCAAGAGTATGAGCTTGAGCCGGCCACGTGGCTTAAATAGAAGCCTCCACGAAATAGAGCCGTTGTACCCCTTCACTGGGCACTGCTCGGGGTGACCGGACGCTGGACCTCAGCGTCCAGTCATGCGATGCACGCCATGTGTCCCTTTCTTCAAATGTTGTGCGCCCGATCTCAACGGTCAGAAGATGACCGAACGCAGCAGCTAACAGTGACCGGATGCTGAACCCCCAGTGTCCGGTCGTTTCCAGTAAGCTTCCAGAAATGATTTTTCCTGACCAGACGCGTCTGGTCATGCTTGACCGGACACAGCCAGCGTCCGGCCACACAGTGTCTTCCTCTGTGCTGTCACATCAGCATGACCGGACACAGCCTACCAGCGTCCGGTCGCTGAGCGACCTAGCGTCTGGTCGTTTGACTGACGCCAGCGTCTTCGCTGTTACAACTGACCGGACGCGCTGGTCCCTCTAAGACCAGCGTCCAGTCACTTTGTGACCAGCGAGACCAACTCCTCTTCACCTCTATCTTCTTCACCCTTGCTTAAATGTGCCAACCACCAAGTGTATCATCTTGTGCACATGTGTTAGCATATTTTCACAAACATTTTCAAGGGTGTTAGCACTCCACTAGATCCTAAATGCATATGCAATAAGTTAGAGCATCTAGTGGCACTTTGATAACCGCATTTCGATACGAGTTTCACCCCTCTTAATAGTACAGCTATCAAACCTAAATGTGATCACACTCTCTAAGTGTCTTGATCACCAAAACAAAATAGCTCCTACAATTTATACCTTTGCCTTAAGCTTTTTGTTTTTCTCTTTCTTCTTTTCAAATCCAAGCACTTGATCATCACCATGGCATCACCATCATCATGTCATGATCTTCATTTGCTTCACCACTTGGAATGTGCTACCTATCTCATGATCACTTGATAAACTAGGTTAGCACTTAGGGTTTCATCAATTTACCAAAACCAAGCTAGAGCTTTCAACGACACAATGAACGGGGACAACGTGCAACAAATAGGGACGGGGATAGCACGCAGCGAACGAGGGTGGGGACAGCGCGTGGCAAATGGGGACGGTGCGCGGCAGACAGGGACGACCGGGATGACGTGCGGCAAATGGGGACAATGATCGGCGGATGGGGACGACACTGTAGAGCCAGCAGCGGTGCTATTAGGTCTCTTGCAGTCAGCGTGGATGCAGATGGTAGCACGAGGGAGATCAAATGTTAGCAGCATGGATGCAGACGACGACGCGAGTGTCGGTGTCTGATGACCTACAACACGTTACAGGGCTACCCGGAATAGTGTTTGATGGTCTTCGACGTACGCTGAACTCAATGGTGAACACAAAGACAACAATTATAGTGGTTCAGGCCGCTAGAATAGCGTAATACCCTACATCCAGTGTTGTTCTAGGCCGTAACCTTATAACCTTGGTTGTCACCTAAACTTACCAGACTTAGAAGAATGAGGCAGGCGAAAAGACAATCAATGCGCGCATGGCTTTACTTCATTTCGTAGGATTAGGGTTTCCTAGAAAAACCTCCCTTTACAACACCGCAGGGGTGCTATTTATACACTTCCATAGCATTTACATGGACACAAATGCCCTCTCAACTACCCTAATTCGGAAGAATATTCTTATTTCGCCGAGGGCTCTTTGGTCCTTTCCTCCTTCAACTTCCCTGGGCTCCAACTGCCGTGATGCCGCCTGGTGGTCCCCTTCGCTTGAAGCAGCCGACAGGACCCCTGTGCCGCCTTCGCCCATGGAGACGAAAATGGAGAAGACTCCTGCAAGATTCGAGAAGATTATCCTGTGTAAACGCTAAGTCGACCTCATGCTTTCGCCTTGAGCTGGGTTTTCGTCCAGAAGGGCGAAAACTTTATCGCTACATGTTCATTCCTGCAGCGCGTGGAGATGCTCGTAACGACTGATTGGCCCTTTTCAGCCCTAAGGGGATGTGAAAAGGCCGTGCATAAGCCAACTTCCCTTTTTGCCGGCAAGGGGGTGCGAAGGGTGGAAGGCATAGCCCAACAGTAGCCCCTCACCACCGCCGCACGGCTATCCCCCTTGCGTCGTCCCCTTGAGGTGTGAAAAGGACGGTTAATTATCTTTGATTTTGTCAGCTTTCGTAACTCTATGTGTTGGTTCTGGTTGTTGTGGATATGCGTGCGTACATGTATATGTATATTTTTATTATTACTATTATTATTATTTTTGTTGTGTTTTATTTTATTATATATATATATGTGTGTGTGTTTTTTTGGGTAACGGCGGTTTTGAATTCGAAACGACGCGTTGAATGTAACCGCTTCCTGTCTTCTCGATAGCCATGCCATCTGGGAGCTTGTGCCCATGACTGTTGAGGGCGCCCGAAGGGCAACTATGGGCATGTTTGCGACCCTGTACCTGGCCGGCCTGGGCAGGCCTACCCCAAGTGGTGCAACTGCTCTTGTTTGCGCCTATGTACCCAGTGAGCCCGACTCAGGCGAGGCTGTGTTTGTCATCGAAGAGGCAGCCGGGCTGAGAGGCTAACCGCCACCAACTACCACACCGAGATAGTGTTTGTCATTTGGCTGTGGTCGGCCAGGCCCATAACAACAAACAGAAATGGACATGAATGAAAGGAGAATGAGGTTGCTCTTCCATAACCGTTACAACAACAAATCAAAGTTTCAGCATGCAATAGTTGGCCTCAGACATGCTAGTTTAACAATTCATGGCATTACTGGCTACATGGGATAATCAAAGTCAGTAAAGAAGAACAAGCAGCATCCGCTAGTCAAGTTTTGAAGCCAACAAACGAAAAAGTTCACAGAAACAGATAAGAGGCAGCAAAATGATATGTAGCCAGCTAATGCATCGATCCATTGTGTCATCATTGGCCAAAATACAACATTTAATAGTTTGGCAAGCCGAGAAGGGCAACAAGTTAACAGAAAGCATGTAGCTAGCTAATGCAGTCATCCTATTGTGTCATCATCGGCCTAATTAAAACAACAGCTGTGGCACATGAATAGCTTGAGTGACAGACCAACTACAACCATAAACAAGATCAAGATGACAGCATTTTTGTAACAGCCTTGCAGCCCAGGTGAATGAGGATAGATTTCAGAACCTTGAGTTGTAACCAGTTCATGGGATGCTGATGCATCCCCATGAGGGGCATGAATTGGTAACAGCAAGGGTTCTTGAGGTACCCTTGCATTAAAATCTCTAAGAGCATCATCATAGTTGTTGTACTTCTGATAGATAGCCCCTTCTTCCCTAAGCACTTGCTTAGCACACTCATACCATGTAAAATAAATCCTAGGTTTCTTCCCTTCAAATACCACATAGCAGGGAGGCATTCTCTGAAACCAACCAAATGTAGAACATGTAAGTTGCCTAAATGACATGCCTCAGTCGACCATTCAGTTTCAATGATGGTGAACATCATCGGCTACTTGATAAAAAAATTAGCCTCAGCTTAGTAGTTTGGTGGTTTTTTTCCTTGTTTAGTCATTGGTGGCTACCAAGAATTGTAAGAACCAAATAAAGAGGCAAATAAACAACAGTTGTACTCACTGCCATACAGACCTTTTGATCAGTTGCACTCACTGCCATCAGTCATCACAAGAGGATGTTGTTGCTGTGGAGTACAACTGAGCATAAGTGTAGAATGGAAGGATAGGCAAATAAAGAAGAAAGCACAACAACAAAACCATCAAAACAAGAATAAGGTAGCCACCTCAAGTTTGTTTTATGCATCATAGGCCTTTAAATCCCACAGTTACCACCAGAGGCATAAACAACACAAATAGGCAACTAGTTATCAAATAAAAAGTAGCCAACAGAGGCTACAAATAAGTTTCTTACAATACCAAGTTCAGCCCAATAGCCAAGGGCTCAAATGTTCCCAAATCCTTGCCTATTGTCAGCCACCCTCCTAGGCAAACTACACCATCAAGGTCAGGTGTCAAAAGAACAAGCAGACTGCACAAAAGGTCCTGTTGTCAAAAGAAGAGAGAGTGGGTGAGGGGGGCTGGAGGAACTATACATCTCTACAGTCAACCCCCTCCTGGCCTTCTAGCCCTTCATGTGTAGTGGAACTACACATAGTAGTTTTTGGCCAGGAAGGTCCTAAGCCAAAGGGCCCTGTGGGCATTACTCATGTTCACAAAGCCCCTGCCTTGGGCCATGTTGTCCAGGAGGAAGGTGTAGGCAACAATAAGTGCCTCCTCACTGAAGCCAGGCATCTCCATCACAGCAAGGTACAGATTGGCATCAACATGGGCAGGTCCAGTCTCCCTAAGAGCATTGGCCACATTGTTCACAGCATCTGACATGTTAGTCAACATTAGCATCTCCTCCTCAGAGAAGTTCCCTCTCTTCCTCTTTGGGCCAGCAGCTGAGGAGGTAGGAAGCAGTTCAGTGGCCGTGCTATCCCCTCCCTATTCACTGGGAACTATGGTGTGGGTCAAAGGAGGACCATCAGCCTTGGCACCAACACTGTCAGCTTGGTTCTACCCTAAGGCTTCACCAGACCCAAGTGCAAACTTGCCTGTGGCCATGGCATTAGCAAAGATAGCCTCCATCTCAGTGTAGAACCTAATAGGGCAGTTAAGAAACTCTGCATCTTTAGGATGGTCCTGCAGAGTTGGGCAAATGTAGTTTAAGAAAGGCAAATGTAGGTAGTCAAGGCAAAGACGAGATCAAACTGCTACCTTGAAGTGGCCAAGGTAGTGCTCTTGCTCAAGCATGATAGCATGAGCCTGGTCATCCCAAAGAGCACCACTAAGGTCCTTCAACATGCAACTACTTCATCAATGCCAAAACCTAGGATCTAGTTATGCAAAATGGCACAGGCAACTACAAGCTTCACTTGTGTCCTATACTTGTGGAAGGGTTTGTTGTCCAAGATCCTAAACCTGCCCTTCAGTGCACCTATAGCCCTCTCCACAGTCACTCTAAGTGATGAGTGCCTAAGGTTGTAGAGCTCCCTTGCATTGGTGGGCCTGTTCCTTGGGCCATACTCAGACAAATGGTACCTAACCCCCCTGTAGGGAGGTAGGAAACCATTTTTGCATGCATACCCAGCATCTACCAAGAACATTTTACCTACACAAGACATCTACTGTGAGAGTGTGTGTTAATAGGCCATGGAATATGTAATTAGTGTTGGTGTGCAATTACCTTCTAGCAAACTCAAGCCATCTTCCCTGGCTACAGCATCTGCCAAAACAGTTGCATCATGGGCAGAGCCCTCCCAGCCAGCCAGGACATAAGTGAATTTCAGATCACAATTCATAGCTACCATCACATTTTGGGTGGGATCCTTTTTCCTACCCCTAAAAGCTTGTTGCATGCGCCTAGGAACCCTTGCTAGGAAATGAGTCCCATCTATAAAGCCAATGACATCCTAAAAAGCATGGGTCAGTCATTGCAACAGGTCTAATGTAACTAATGAACCCAGGGTATACAATTACCTTAAAATATGGATTCCATGTATGGCTTCCAAGAATCTTTGGGTGAGTGGTAGTGCTAGCTAGCTTTATCATTTCATTCCTAAGCTCACCCACAGCATACAACACCTGATGGAAGTGCTTGTGGACAGTTTGGATGGACCTCCTAAAGGACTGGTGGACAACCCTAAATCTTTGGTTGTGCCCAACAACATGTAAAAACATGGCAACCTGCTCTTCTACTGACACCCCCTCCCTATCAGTGACAAGACTCCTCTCTCTAAAAGTTCTCACTAACTTAAAAAAAGCAACTCTCTTCATCCTAATCATAGAAATACACTCTGAATCAGTGGAATTGTATATCATTCTCAGTGTTCTCTGTCTGTGCTGTTCATTTTCATCCCTAATCAGGGCCAGTGCTATAGGATCAGGCAGTGGGGTTTCAGGTTCAGGGGTTTTCCTTTTCAGCCTAGTGGATACAAAGGTAACCATAACAACAGTCAAGGCAGCTGCCTTCCTACACAGCATGTCACGGCTCAAAGACAGATCCATCTACAAGCATGTAAAAATGTAACATGATTTCAGCTTAATGTACCCTGCTAGGCATCAACATGAATGTGAAATGAATGCATGCCAACAAAAGCACGGCTGCATCTTGTATGTGATGCCTCCCAGTACTAAATTTGGACAACATCATCGACCAATGATGGAACAAAAAACTCAGAGCAATAGTAATCAGAAACAGATCAACATCCCTAACACATCAAGAACAGTAAGGTACAAGTAACACTAACAACTGCATCAAATAGTTATGAACAGCAAGGTACAATACTAATCTGAAACAGATCAACAATCCTAACAGATCACGACCCCAACAGATCAAGAACAGCAAGCTACAAGTAACCCTAATAGGAGCATGAAGCAGTTATAACAAGTATGAAATCCTAACAGATCATGAACAGCAATGAACAAGAAACCTTAAGAACTTCAAGAATCACCACAAAAAAGAAGATTGGGGGTCGATTTCACCTTGGCTTGGGGTCCAAACAACGGAGAGGAGGCAGATCTGGAAGTAGAGGATGCAGATCGGGAAGAAGACGAAGCAGATGCGGACAGAGAAGAAGAGGAACACCGCTGCCACGGAGTCCCAGCAGCAACCGGAGCGGGGACGCGGCGAAGAACCTCGGCGCCGGTGACCTAACCCACAACCAGCCGGAGGTCGCCGCCGCCGCCACGCACCACAACTTACCGCCGGTCTCTCACGAGGGAGGTGGAAGAGCAAGCACCGAGTAGAAGAAGGAGAGAGTGGAGAGTGGGAACCCGTATATAAAGGTCGGCGAAATCGCCGCCATTTCGCTTCGCGCGCGGCGGCCAGAGCGGGAGCGGAGAGCGGGGACGCGTGCGAAGACGTTTCCCCTTCCCGCCAGAGCCCACGCGAGCCACCCCGCCGCCGCCCAAAATCGCCCGCGTGCGTCGCAGACGAGCTCGGCTCCAAAGAAACGAGGGTTTCGGTCGTTTCCAGAGAGCCAGGCGGAGAGGTCGATTTTTGCTCTGGGAAGCCAGGCTCGCTTGCGGGCCATCGACCACAAACATGGCAACTTGCAGCGCACGGGCGCAGCCGGGCCTCCGGGCCAGGGTCGCAAACGCGCCCTATAAGTACCCCTCGATTGTAAACGGATCGAATTCATAGGGAATTCGATCCGGATATCACCTTTGACCATATTTTAATTTGAATCCGAATACGAATACAGATATTTTTTTTAATACAGGTACAATGGATTCAGATTTATATTCAGAGATTCAACTCAAAGTGTATATTGTTAAATTCAACATACATCAATAGAATTTTACTACTAAGTTCATCGATAACATAAATGAAATAAAATCAAAATACACATCACCAAAATCAAAGTTAACTAAAATGTTCTTTAGTTACAAAATTATTACACAAGTAGAGATTAAAATATGTGGATATTATAACGATAGACAAGGATAGCTCACCAAAAATGATATAGTTATCAACAAATATTTAATAACGAAATATATCAATTAATCAACCATTATTTATATAATATTTATTATGATATTATAAATGATATAAAAAAATAAAAAATACATTAGTAAGTAAATAATAAGTAAAAGTATTAAAATAACTTACAAGTTGCATCAAATTAGAAAAATACTAAATTAATTTAATCTTATGTATCGTTAATAATATTAAATTAATATTAAAAATTACTTATACATATATTATTAAGTAGTTTCAATACATCATTAGCAATATTAAAATTTACTAGTCATGGAGAGAAAACTTTTAAATAGATCCATATATCTTATTCTTTGCGAATATGGATAAATGTTAGATATTCTATATTTTTTCGAATACGGAAGATAGAGAATGAAATGTTTCATTAGCATCCAAGTTAGAAACCGATATCAATACAGATTCATATTATAAGTTTTTGATGTAACTGTAAGGTAATTTAGGTATCTATTTCTATTTTCTATCCCTATGGATCTGTAAAGAGGATGGGCCCCTGCCAGCGAGGACGCCAGACAAGGGGGGGGGAAGCGGCAGCGGCGCTACAGATTTCCGAGACCCGTGTGGCCGTGAGCAGATAAGGTTCACCGCGTCACGTCATTATCTCCCATATTCATATTATATTTCATATTTTTTAATTAAATCTTAGAACCAGATATGAATCATTCATTGATATTTATCTCACGTACATATCAGAAAACTAATTTTGAGTATTCAAATTCAAGATACTAAATGCTCAGATTCAAATACAGACTATCCAAATAGTGTTTTGATCCTTTCAGAATGCATGGGTATTAGAAAAATCTGTCCCTTTTTCAAACCCAGTCACCTCTTCTTTCCCTTTTTGGTTTGCTTCTAGCATTTAGTAGAATAAGTTGCATTAACAAGTTCATCATTTGAAAGTGCTTTTCCCGTGTCTCCTATGATACCCGGCTGGCTTGATTTGGTATGCGCTAGATGAAGCATCCACAGTATATAGGTATAGTATGAACCCTCTGGAACAGTTTATAATGAGGGCTACTAGAAAGAGGAGCTTGTGCTTGGGACAGAGCTAGCAACGTATAAACCACGAGCAGAGGTTGTCCCTTGAAAGAAGCACCGACCCACCCACACCCACATTAGGGACGAGCTGTGCTGATTCCGATGAGCCTATTCACGTCATACAGTTGCACTAGCGTGAACGGGTCACAGAAAAATCAAACAAATATAACAACTTTGTTTCACAGGAAAATCAAACAAGTATATAATACTCCTCCCGTTCCAAATTATAAATCACTTTGATTTTTTTATACATCCATTTTGCTATACATCTAGATATAATAATATGTCTAGATACATAGTAAAATAAATGAACCAAAGAAGTCAAAGCGATTTATAATTTAGAACAGAGTGAGAAATTCAGAAGTTGAAAGAAATAAGTGAAAAGTATGTCAACAGAATAAATTCTGTGCCACTGCTAGGGGCATCAAAACCCATCGTTTCAGCGTTTCAGGGTGCTCAAGGGTTGCGCCCTCCCAGCAAACTATGTGATCTAAGGCAAACGGCTGTAACAAGGAACACAACAAAGAAAGATACATCAAAAGCGAAAATGGTATAAGTCAATATTTGTCCTTGGCTCCCAGTCCCCATGACTTCGGTCGCCTTACTGCGGTCAAGGGGGTGGCAATGCCCTGCCCATCCTTCCCCAGCCCAGACCCTGGGACAAACCCCATTTTCACCATCATTTTGGATCCAAAACCCTTGGTGTGTCTCTCGAAGGAGCAAACGCCACTAGTCTCTGGTGCCCACACATTCCGCCTCAGCTCTGTCCTCACTTTGCCTGGCTCTAATATTGATTTAATGGGTTCTGTCCTTGCTTTAATCGCCTCAGCCTCACTGTCGAATTGTACACCGAGTCCAAGAGATTTGGGACGATGGATGGCTTGTATTGGCTGCACTATACCTTGGCCATCTTTGCCAAGGCCAGTGCCCTCGATGAATCCCATTTTGGCCATCATCTTTGAACCAAACCCTTGGTGTGCACCTCGAAGGAGCCTAGCTGTGTGTGCCCATTTTGGGCAGTGACCTCACTTTCAGCAGCTTTAACACATGAGTTATCACCACCACTTGAGTCAACAGCTATTGCCTCCGTAAGGGAATCCGCCATGGTGCCAGACTTGACAAAAGATACAGGACGCTCTGCAAAGGAGACCTGTTTCTCGGAAGATTTATTTCCACTGGATTCTTGATGTTTTACAAACTTTCCTGGAGCTGAAAGGCCCTTCCGTCCTGCTGGACCTATAGAGTTCTCCCAGTTGACAGAGAAGTCCTCAGGTTCAGTCTCCAAAAGCTGAAATCAATGAAGCAAAGTGGTTAGATAACATTGAAACAATTAGAAGTAGCGAGGAGATCAGCATAAAGAAGGGGGATAAAGCAATAGTGGCATCTTTCGAAACACAAAAATGGCATGATACAGTTTGATCATTAATTAAAGCTTTCGAGTAGTATGATACAACTGGGGCTGGACCAGACAACTGGGGCTGGACCAGACGCTCGTTGAAAATAAAACAAACATGATTTCGAATGACTTTGGATTTCAGCTCAGCTCATTAAGCTCAGTTTAAAGTTGGGTCTCAAACAAATCAGGAGACTGATAAATAAGATTACGTCAATTTCAGCAAAAGCTCGAAAAAAGTGCAGTTGGCTCATTATCCACCCGTAACAATTACAAATTATATCATCTTCAGAAATGACTAGACTGCATAAAAGAAGTATGGAAAATGATAAGCAACATATAAGAACGGGAAGTAAACTATCTCCAGGGGAAAAAAAATCCAAAGATAGCCACCTTTTCAAGTCGAACTTGGCCATCTGCAGATGGCAAGGAAGACTGCTCAGTTAATGTCACAGTGACAAATCTGCAAGGAAGAATTATTGATTTTACGCAAAGGATAAGCTATATAAATGCAAAATAAACCAAGGGAATACAATCCTTGGTAATAACAAAGGTTTGTAGATTTTAAATTCATTAGATAAAAATGAACAGAATAAACTTCCAATAAGAATGTTGAAGTACAAAATATGGTGGCAAAATACTCTCCAGTTTGAGTTTATTAGTCACAATTTTGAAATATAACACAAGAAATTGGTAAACAATGAGCACATCGAATTGATGAACACAGTATTAAACATGAAAGATAAAAAAACAAGTGTGGTTGAGAAAATTAAACTGAAGTTACAGTAAGGTCATGGGAGGTGCAAAGTCCTGCAGCTCACTAACCCATAACCAAGCTAGCAATATAACCAGGTTATGGTAGTAGCTACATGCAGGGACACATCGCTTACGTATTTGTCCTTATCAAACAGTATGTGCAATGAACATGACAAGAATGTCAGTGGCATGTTTCTCGTATCAGTGCCCATGCAAACAAAGGGGGTGGTTTGAGTAAGCCACTAAAACCTTTACCTTCCTACCTCGAGAGTTGACTAAGATGATGTAGCAAAAAAAGATGTCATAACAGTTCTTTGCAAGAATTAGTAATGTGTAAGCAGGATGATCTGCAACAGCCACAACTGCTCAGGAACCCTTGAACTATATTACTGCATGACCACTGTCATGCAAAGATGTTCTGTAAACCACTATCACTGCTGCCTTGCAGTAAATCCCCAGGGCTCTGACAAACAATAAACTCACATGCCATGCAAAGTATTTTAATGTATTATGTCAAGATCATAATGAATATATGACCAGCAATCAGTTACCTTTTCATGCCAGAACCTTGACACCCGCTCTTCAATTGATAAATAGATGCAAGGCGTTGCGCCTACAGAGGTAAACCAGTACTCAGAGCAATGTACGCCACGCAAACAGGAATGAAAATGTACAAACAAATAAATAAATCTGTATATATAGAATTAGTACGGCTAGCATACCGGTGTATCTCTTGTCCTTTACCAAGTTCCCAAAATGGGCTATTAGGCTCATCAACTCTCACCTAGCTAACTGTCTCTGGGATGATAGTGAGTAGACATAAGCTGGGATAGTGTTAGTATGGTGGTTTGGGTATTCCCTAGTTTGAGGGAGTTAAACCATGCGTCTCCTAGGGTCCTGGATCAAAAGATACCAGTTGGACGGTAACAAGCTTTGGAAATGCTTATTGATCACAAGTATAATACTGACAGGCCTAATATCTTCTATAGCTCAACAGTAGGAGCTAGTCAATTTTTTAAGGGCATATGATCTGAGTTGCTACAGCAGCGAAACTAGACTACAAATGGGTCATAGGAAATGGTAGGAAAGTTAAATTTGGGAGGACAACTGGACAGGAACGTCAAGCTTAGCTATTGAGTGCGCATTTGGTTTTCTGGCCTGCTCAGCTTGCCTCGCCTCACTCGGCAAGGCTAGCCTTGCCAGCAGCGGAGAGCTGTTCTGGCTCACCCAAGCTTGCAACAGAAATCCTTGTCAGCGCGGAAATTGAGGGAACGAGCAAACCAACCAGACGCAAAGTTTTTTGCCTAGCCTGGCAAAGCAAGCAGTGGCAAAAGATCCAAACCAATGTTATTAAGGCGTCGCTTTGTCGTTGCCTAAGCGCCAAGGCGCTCCACACGGGACAATAGAGCAAACGACTCGCCTTAGATTCGTATGGCGTCCGCCTTACGACTATGGCGTCCGGAAAGCATCGCTTTGGCGTCCGATTCGTGCCAGATCGGGCCAGGCGGGCGACATACGGGGATGCTCTGTTCAGGGCGGTGGGAAAACGCGGCAGCGTGGGAGAAAGGACGGGAAAAGAGCAGGCACGCGGGAAAGCCAGTCACGCGCAGAGATAAAGAGAGGAGCGCGCGGGAGAATTAGGTGCACATAGAGAGAGGAGCGTGCGGGAGAAATCAGAGCGCAGGAGACTTAGGCGCGCGTAGAGACAGGAGCGCGCGGGTGAAACCAGAGCACAGAGAGTGGAGCACTCGCGGAGAACACGGACCTACCTGCTCCCCGGGCGAACGCGTTCTCCCGTGCTGCTGGGAGAAGCTGCCGCCGCCGCCGCCTCCGCCTCCGCCTCAAGAAGAGCCTTTGCCTCCGCCTCCGCCTCCCCTCTTCCCCATCCAGGCGAGGAGCAACCGCCGGCGGGCCGCGGTTTCCGCGCCGCCTCCTCTGGTCCTCCATCGAGCAGGACCCGAACCGCCTGCTCCAGTCTTCCCCATCCCTCCCTCGAGCCAGGTAATTACTCTGCTCTGTATTTTTCTACTTGCCTGTAGCCTCTTCTCTTGAGCAGGACAGCAGCATGCCAATTTGTTTATGTTTGCTTTGCTTAGTTCTTAGTGCTTAGTGCTTAGTGCTCAGTGCTTAGCCTCTTCTGGATGGCAGTTTGTTTTTTATATTCCAACCTGAGCCAACATGAGCCCTATTTAACTATTTGTGTCCACTGTCCAGTTGTCCATTAGTGATCAGTGTTAATTAATAATTACTTTGCTTGTCGTGTTTCACAGGAGTCCATCTAGATGGCAACGCAAGGCACTGCAAGTCCACAAAGTGTAGGCTCAGATACTGCTGAATATGATCCAAGGACAGATCCAAAAAGGAAGGCTAAGTCTAGTGATCCTGGGTGGAAGTATGGCTTCTGGCCAGAAATTGGCAACAGAGATCTGGTTGAGTGTAGCCTTTGTGGAGGGAGAGTAAATTCTGGAATCAAGAGATTGAAGGAGCATCTGGTAGGTGGATATGGAGATGCTGTCAAATGTCCTAAGACAACAACAGCAATTGCTGCTGAAATGGAAGCATCACTAGTTAAGGGAAGAAGAAAGAGAGCACTAAACCTAGATGATGACGATGATGGTGTTCAAGTGGTGGAAGTGGTACCAACTGAGAACCAGGTTCAAAACAATGCTAATGCTTCGTCTCCGTCATCTGGTACTAGTGTGGTGCAGCATCCAAGTTCAGGGACAGCATCCAAAAAGAAGCAATCTGCTCTCAAATTTGCATCTCTACCACCTAGACCCAAAGAGAAGAAGATAGTGATTACCATGCTTCGGAAAAAACCTGAAGAAGTGGTTGAGGAAAGGCATTTTAAGAATGGACCTGCACAAAGCAGTGTGGAGGGAAGAATCAGGACCAAGGAAGAAAGAGATGAAGTCAACATGCATGTGGCCAATTTCTTCTATGAGTGTGGAATACCATTCAATGCTATCAACTCAAGGAGCTTTGAGATTATGTGTGAGGCCATTGGACAGTATGGACCTGGATATAAACCTCCTAGCTTCCATGAGGTGAGGGTGCCATGGCTTGGAAAGGCTGTCGAACAGACCAACAAGCTAAAGGAGAAGCATGAGGCTGCTTGGAAGCAATATGGCTGCACACTCATGTCAGATGGGTGGACAGATAAGCGGGGCCTGTTGCCCAGGTAAACAAGAACACAATAGGAATTTGGCTGTCAGAGGACAGCTTGGACATAGGCCGCTTGGATTGTATTGATTTGCAAAAACTTGGGATAATGCTTAGCCACTGCTTATATAGGCAAGTGGTGTACCTACTCCTTTGCATATTCTAACTGCATAAAGCAGATGCTATGATTCCTACTTGGTTGCCAAGAAACCTGAAAACTACTGGACAGTAAACAGTAAAGTAGAAGTAGTAGGTAACTAGATACATTTGGGTAAGCACTAGTCTAAACCCTCATTTCTCCCCCTTAGCCTTGTGCCCTGCCTTGGGGATGATCTGCTTTAGACCAATTCTCTCCCTCATCTCTTCAAATTTGGCCCTGCTCAGAGACTTGGTGAGAATGTCTACAAGCTGATCAGTAGTTGAGATGTGATCGGCCTTGATGCTTCCATCTTCCAGGCAGCTGCGGATGAAGTGGTACTTGATCCTTATGTGCTTGATCCTCTCATGGAAGACTAGATTCTTGGCCAGAGTGAGGGCCGACTTGCTATCCACCTTCAGCTCCACCACCTCGACATGCTTGCCGAGGAGCTCTGCTAGCAGCCTTGAGAGCCACAGAGCTTGGGTTGCAGCAGTAGAGGTGGCAATGTACTCTGCTTCGCAGCTGGAGGGCACCACCACATTCTGCTTGATTGATTGCCATTGGCATCTTGATGCACCTCGACGCCGAGGTAGAAGCTGAGGAGGCCGAGGTCACTCATGTCGAAGATCTTCTTCATATGTGCCTTAAACACCTCCACTTCTCGATCTTACGCACCGGTGATGATCAGGTCATCGACATAGACGCCGACGAGCAGGACAGAGCGTCCACTGCCCCGCCGGTACATCGCCGCCTCATGAGCACTCTGTTGGAAGCCCATGTCCTTGAGCGTGGCATTCAGCTTGGCGTTCCAGGCACGCGGAGCCTGCCGCAGGCCGTAGAGGGCCTTGCGGAGGCGGTAGACCTTCCCCTCTTCTCCGGTGACGACGAAGCCGGGCGGCTACTGCACGTATACCTCCTCGAGGTCGCCGTTGAGGAAGGCCGATTTAACATCCATATGATGGACGCGCCAACCTTCTTGAGCCGCCAGCGCGAGGACCCTGACGGATTCCATGCGCGCCACCGGAGCGAACACGTCGTCGTAGTCCACCCCTTCTTGCTGGACAAAGCCGCACGCCATGAGTCTTGCCTTGTGCTTGGTCACCTCCTTCTTGAGCTTGAATACCCATTTCAGGGTGATGGGCCGATGGCCAATAGGGAGCGGCACCAGCTCCCAAGTCCGGTTCTGTTCCACCGTCTTGAGCTCTTGCTCCATTGCCGCCAGCCATGCCGGATCATCCTTGGCCTCGGCATAGTTGGCAGGCTCGCCGGCGTGTGTGAGGTGAAGCTCAGCGAAGAGGCGTTGAGGCGGCAGAGGTGGAGGATGGCCGCCGATGATGTTCGTGATCGTGCGGTACCGCAGTGACTCGTCGTCGAAGGCGTCGAGCCTGTCTTCATCATCCTCTAGTGGAGTGGCAAACTCCACTTGATCACCGGCCACAGCTGCTGCCGCTAGTGAAGCAGTAGGAGCAGCAGGGGACGCTGGTGGTGGCGTTGGCGAGGCCTGCTGGGGCACTAGAGGAGCGACCGTTGCTGCCGATGTCCCTCCGGACTCCCCCGGACTTGGTGACGACGAGCGCGGTGCAGAGAGTGATGGCGCTGGCGATGTAGCTCCGGCCGCCACTGGAGAAGCACCTTGTGCTCCCCCGACTCCTCCAATCTCCCAGTACTCGACGATGAAGTCGCTGGGTCCAGGATGCGGTACGCCTTGGCTCCCTCTGCGTACCCGATGAAGACGATGGCCTTGCCGCGGTCATCAAGCTTGCGGAGCTGCCCTAGGTCCTTGGTGTAGGCGATGCAACCAAACATCTTCAAGTGGCCGACCACCAGCGTGCGCCCGTGCCAGGCCTCGTAGGGGATCTTGCCCTGCAAGCTCCGCGTCGGCGAGCGATTGAGCAAATGGACTGCCGTCATCACCGCCTCCCCCCAAAACATGGCCAACATCCTCCTTTGCTTCAGCAGCGCCCGAGCCATGGCCACCACGGTCTGGTTCCGGCGTTCCACCACGCCGTTTTGGTATGGCGAGTGAGGCGCCGAGAAGTGGCGTTGGATGCCCTCTCCTGCGCAGTAGTCGGTGAACTCCGCGACGGTGAATTCGCCACCGTTGTCGGTGTGCAGCACCTGGAGCTTGCAGTCGCTCTCCTTCGCCACGGCCTAGACCTTCTCGATGGCGTCCGTGGCAGCATCCTTGGACGGCAGTAGGACAGCCCACAAGAAGCGAGACGCGTCGTCCACCATTAGGAGGAAGTAGCGCCGTCCTCCTAGAGTCATCGGCATCACGGGCCCGCAAAGGTCGCCGTGGACAAGCTCTAGCTGCTCCTGCGCGATGTACTGGGCCTGCTGAGGGAAGGGGCGCCAGCGCTGCTTTGTCGTGACGCAGGTGTCGCAGACTTGCTCGGTGTGCTTGATCACCGGCAAGCTGCGCACCATGGCCGGCTTGCCGAGTTAGTGTAGCGCCTCGAAGTGGAGGTGGCCGAAACGTTCATGCTAGCGCCAGACGTCGTCATCCTTCCTCGCGGCGAGGCAGAGCGGCTTCGCGGCCTCAAGATGCAGGACATAGTGGCGGCTGGGCCTGCGGTTCACCTTGACGAGGAGGCGCCCGCGGCAATCCCAGTTGCGAAGGACGCCCTTGTCGATCTCCACCTTGGACCCACCCTCATCGAGCTGGCCGAGGCTCTTAATGGAGTTGCGCAGCGCCGGGATGAAGTAGACGCCGTGCAGGACTCGGTGCTCGCCGGTCTTGGCTTGGAACACGATCGAGCCGACGCCTTGAATCTCCACCCTTGATACGTCGCCGAACCACACCGAGCCGCAAACAGAGGTGTCGAGGTCGGAGAAGAGCTCGCGACGGCTGGTCATGTGGTGGGTAGCGCTGCTGTCGGGGTACCAGCCATCCATCTTGTCCTTGCCGGAGCCGGTGTTGAGGAACGCACGAGCTCAGGATTCGTCGATGTCGAGGCTGGCGTCGGCCATGGAACAGACGATATCCTCCTCTGTTTCCAGCTCCAAGAAAACGTGGGCAAGGAACAGAGCCGCCTCGTCATTATCCGCCTCTGCGAGATGCGCTGCGCCGCCACGCTCGCGTCGGGGCTAAGGGCAGTCCTTCGCCCAGTGGTCGGTGCGGTGGCAGTTGAGGCAGGTGTCGTCGCGGTTCGCCTTGCGTTTGCCGCCGGCGCCACCAGCCTTCTCTGCTTGCCCACTGCCGCCACGGTCGCCACGCTCTCCCTTGGGCTTCTGCTTCCTGCCGCCACGAGGTCGTCGGCGGTGGTCCTTGGACAAGCTGGACGAGCCGAAGCCGTCTCCTCCCTTCTTCTCCTTCTGCCGAGAGAGCCATTGCTCCTCGGTGTACATCAGCTTCCCGCCAACGGAGATGGGCTCGGACGGAGGTTCTTCCTCGAGATCGTCCACCGTCTTCAGCCTTCCGGCAACCTCCACGATGGTGAGGTCCTGGAAGTCGAGGAGGGTCTCGATCGCGATCTTCAGCTGGGCGTACTTCTTCAGCGCCGCTCGAAGAAGCTTCTCCACCGCCCGCTCCTCGTCGAGGTCCATGTCGCCGTGGTGGGCCATCTGCTGCTTCAGCGCGGAGAGGCGGAGGGCGAAATTCTCGACCTGCTCACCGGGACGGAAGGCGAGATTCTCCCACTCCTTGCGCAGCCGCTGCAGCGTGGCGCGGCGAACACGGTCGACGCCGATGCGCGCCGCGGCGATGGAGTCCCACGCCTCCTTGGCCGTCGCCTTGTCCGCGAGCGGTGCGGCCATCGCCGGTGGTACTCCGGCGATGATGGCCTCAAGCGCGCGTCGGTCGTCGTGGTGCGGGAGGTCACCGTACTCGATGGCGTCCCAGAGCTGGCGTGCCTGCATCTTCACCTTCATGAGCAGGCTCCACTCATGGTAGTTGGTCTTGGTCAGCATCGGCCATGGCATCCCCGTGCCGGAGTCCTTGTACACCGTCTGGATGGCCGTTGGCGACCCGCGACGACCTCCGCGTTCACGATGGCGCTCCGGAGATGGCGACGGGATCCGATGGCGCACCAGGCTCTGCAACGGCTCCCTGGGCTGCCGCTCCAACTCTGCACGCAGCGCGGCGGCCGTGTTGGTCGCGGCCTGGGCTGCTGCCTACCTGGCCGCCTCGATCGCCTGCACGGCTGCGGCCTCTACCGTGGCCAAGCGCTGAGCGCAATCAGCGCCAGGATTGATCACCGCTCCTCCGCCAGCATTGGCGGCTACGGCGGCGGCTGTTGCTCTCAGGGGGCGCTCGGTGGAGGTGGGCATGGCCTCTGCTCTCCCCTAACCCGGCTCTAGATACCAATTGTTGCCCAAGTAAACAAGAACACAATAGGAATTTGGCTGTCAGAGAATAGCTTGGCCATAGGCCGCTTGGATTGTATTGATTTGCAAAAACTTGGGATAATGCTTAGCCACTGCTTATATAGGCAAGTGGTGTATCTACTCCTTAGCATATTCTAACTACATAAAGCAGATGCTATGATTTCTACTTGGTTGCCAAGAAACCTGAAAACTACTGGATGGTAAACAGTAAAGTAGAAGTAGTAGGTAACTAGATACATTTGGGTAAGCACTAGGCTAAACCCTCAGGGCCGTCACCTCATTAATTTCCTAGTCAATAGTCCAGAGGGGACTTTCTTCTTGGAATCCGTTGATGCATCAAGTAAAGTACATGATGCACCAATGTTGGCAGATTTACTACAGCAGAGAATTGATCTCATTGGAAGAGACAAGGTCGTTCAATTGGTCACTGACAATGGTGCTAACTATAAGTCTATAAGGCAGCTTGCAAGCTTTTTATGAAAAGAATTCCAACACTGTTTTGGACCCCATGTGCTACATTGCTTGGACCTTATGCTAGAGGACATTGGCAAAATGAAGCAGTTTAGCAAGCCTATTGCACGTGCAAGACAAGTAATCTTTATTTATAGGCACAGGAGGCTTCTGCATGCAATGAGGGAGAAGACCGGAGGTAGAGATCTTGTTAGACCAGGAGTAACTCGTTTTGCTACTGCTTTCCTCACTTTGCGAAGCCTGCACACTCATAAGGATGCTCTGAAATTCCTATTTGTATGTGATGACTGGACTAAGTCCAACTTGGCAACTACAGAAGCAGGAAAGAAAGTGCATGACACCATCCTTTCAACCAAATTTTAGAATTCAGTTGAGGACTGCCTGAGAGCTTCACAGCCCCTTATTGTTTTTTTGAGGATAGTTGATGGGGATGAGAGGCCAGCAATGCCAGAGGTTTCATTTTGTATGGAATATGCAAAGAAAAAGATTAAAGACATTTTCCCTACTAGTCGAAAGGCAGACTTGCTTAAGCAAATCTTGGCAATCATTGACCGGCGTTGGGAAGATCAAATGGACCAACCACTATATGGGGCAGCACTATATTTGAACCCAAACAAGTATTTTGACCTGAAAACAGATGATGCTTTGGCTGGTAAGCTAAGGTCTGCATTTACTGAGGTTCTTGCAAAAATGGTGCCTGACCAGGATCTACAAAACAAGATTGATGACCAAGCTTTGGACTATGAGGAGGGGGTAGCTTCAGCAAAAAAATTGCAATCAACAACATCAAAACCAAGTCTCCTAGTAAGTTCTTCACAGACTATACAATCTGAATTTTTTAGTCTTTCCTAATTTCTAACATGAAAATGTTTTTTCGGTGACTTGATCTAGATGAATCGTGGCGTTCATATGGTGGCAAAGTCGTATAGCTCCAAAGATTTGCAAAACGCGTTGTTGGTCTTTGTGCTTCGTCTTCAGGTTGTGAGCGCTGTTGGAGCACATTTGAGTTAATTTGTCAATTACTCAATTAGCCCAGTTCAAGAAATAAATAAAATCTATTACCTACTAATGCTTGCTGAAAATTTCTTTTGTTTGCATTTTTACCATTGCAGATTCATACTAAGAAAAGAAACAGGTTAGAAGCATAAGAGGCTTAATGATTTGGTCTATGTTCAGTACAACCGAAGGATGGCAGTGAGGTTCCAAAAGCGACATGAGAGGAGCAGGCTGAACCCTGAATGGGTTGATGTGGATGCTGAACCAGTCCACAATGGCCGTGGACTTGAAATTACATGGGAACAAGTTGATGAGGCCGTTGGTGCATCCCAAATGTATCATGGTCGCAATTTCCCTAGGGCAGCCCACGGCGATGCGACTAATATTGATAGAACCTATAATCGGAGGCGGTCTGCAGGATTTTTTTTTTATTTTTAACACTTTTTGTAATCTAATTTTAAATCTAACATTTTTTTTTTCAAAACTAACACTTTTGGCCGCGCCTATTGCCATGGCGCGGCGAAAAGCCTGTGCCGCGCCATGCATGGTGGTGCGGCGGGAGGTTGACGTGGCGAAGACCGCGGGCTGCTGACCGCTGACGTGGCAGGGGCTGCCGCGCCACCGATCTTGGCGCGGCAGTGACGCACCCTGATCCGTGGCGCGACAGAGCCGGATAAAAGGCCCGCGGCCCAATCCCGCCCGCCTGCCGCGCATTTGCTCTGTCTGCCCGCCGCGTCCACCCGCCTGGCCGCCGCGCTGTGCCCTCCCGCTACTCCCAAGTGCTGTCGGCGACCGTCTCACCCTCCCTCCCTTCCCTTCCATTCCCCGGCCGCCTCCCTCCCTCAGCCTCGCTTAAGGTAATGACGCACTTTTTATTTTCGTTTGAATGATGGATTGGTATATTATGATTGGGAGTTAAGGTTAAGAGGAAAATTATGTTTGGAAACTATGAGCTACGGTTTGGAGGAAGATATTAATTTGATTTTGTCAATGTTAAGGTTAATTATTTAGTTAGAAGTATGTTTACCATGTATATTTTTGTTGATATAAGTGTTGGTTATATTATTTGAGTTACAATGCAAATGATTATATTTTACATTAATTTACGTTGTTTTGATTGATGTTTAATTTGAACCGTTTTATTAGATTGAAGACATGTTTCGGGAGCAGTGGATCGACGGTGCAGACAAGTTTGACCCCAGGTACCTCCTTTTCGACGATTGGTGGAGAGGGCGACATCCACGGGAGCACTTCGAGCGGTGGGTTCCACCTCCCCCTAACCCCCCTCCAATGACGACTAAGGAGAAGCACTTAGCCGCAGTTAGACGACTCGAGGAACCTCCTCTGCGTGATTGCGGAGATCGAGCTATGATAAACCCTGAGTATACGTTGGAGTTTGTGTGTCCAAACAAACATGAAGTGCAAAGTGTATGTTTTGAAATGTTGAGCTATATGTGTTCATGTACTAATGTCACCTTATTTAGGTGTTTTCAATGGTGAAGTGTCGTTTCAAAGAGTGGTTGTATGGTCCTAAGAACCAATGGCCGGAAGAACCGCCAAAGGCAAAGCAAAAGAAGAAAGAAAGGTTAATTTACAAAGCACCTCCAGTCAAGTGCGAATGTGGCGTTAAATCCAACTACGGTCTAGTCCCTTCGGAGCTTGGAATATACCATTATTGCGGCCATATGGTTGACTATGATGAGGTTGGTTATTTTTGTAGTAAACATGAAATCGTATTTTGTTTCATTTGCTAATACATATATGATATAATTTTTCGTTTGAACAGAGCAATAGGAACTGCAGGTGGGAATGTTATGATGCTCAAGCTAAGTTCTTGGATGAACTGAAGGGGAAGCAAGTAATTACACGAAAGAGGAGATATGAACCTGACTACGTCAACCTATTCATTAAACATCACAAAGACAAGATGCGTGAGTTTGCTAGACAGCACGGTATTTATAATCCGATCGATGTTGGGCTTGACAAAAAATGGGGATTGGAGAGACGGATGACGTTATAGAGGAGAGGGCAAGGAAGGAGGCAAGGGAGGAGACAAAAGTACAGATGCAGATCTTGAACGAGCATGTTGTTGCATTATGTGCCAGTGAGTGTTTGAAAGCTTTTTTTTCGTTGCCTGATTTTTAATGTAATATAATCCCGTTGCTAACTGATTGCATTTTATACATGAAGGGATTGGATGCAGCGAGGAATATGCTGCAGAGGTGGCTTGTGCAAGGTATGAGGAAAAGAAGTTAGATGAGCACAGAACGCGAGTTGGTCGCACCGTTGAATCACCAATTGTGTTGTCTGATGGGAGGGAGGAGGACGAGGACGACACTGAGGATGATGACGATGCGTTCTTCACTCAGGCCGTAGAGGCCGCAGATGAAGCGGAGGCTGCTTACTACAGGCGAAAGGCAGATCAAGGCAATGTAGGTGACCCTATCCACAGCAACAGGGTTGTGGTAAAGAATTGGTACTCAGACGACGAGTTGCTTACTCAGTATATTTCTGACTTAGGGTTTTTGAATTGCGCCGTGTATCAGAACTTTCATTGTGTTGTCTTGTTTTTCATTTGAACTATTGATGTATTGTACCCATGTATCATGTACTCGGATTACCCATGGTCGATCTTAAGTGATCCCATCCGTTTGTCACCCTCCGACCTATCCATTTGTCGCTCTCCAAGTTTTTTTAATAATAGTGAATGCGTTGAGAATTTCTAAAACGAACAAAATCGACGCGCCAACCCTAAGCCCAAGTTCTGTCAGTGTCCAGGTTCTGCCGCGCCATAACCTACGGCGCGGCACTGACGCGCCAAGCCCCACGACGCGGCAGTACCTGGACACAGACACAAACTGACCAGCCTCAATTGCAACTGAACGGGAGCCGCTGTCAGTGCTGTAAACAACTACAAGTGCTGCCGCGACCGTGCGCAAGTTGAAACGAATATGAAGCAAATAAATTGAGACCGTGCGCAAGTTGACAAGTTGCAAGTTTCGGACGACAATATTCGTTTGACATAAGTTCGACATAACCAACTAAGTCCCAGGAGTGAAAGGATCCCTCGAACGCCTCTTGAAAACCTCGTCGTCGTACTCCACCTCAAGAAGAGGATACATCTGGTGCGGCGTGGGCGGGGCCATCCTGTTACAAATTGATAAACAAAGGGTTATAGTATTCAAATTAACATTATGTAGCATTGCAAAATTTGAACACTTGGTATGCAATACGAACACAATATGAAAGCACCTGCTGCCCTCGTCTTCTATGCATGCTAACCTTGCTGCCCTCGTCTTCTATGCATGCTAACCTTGTGACCAGGGACTTTGCAAACGGAGCAAAAATTCCTGCCACGGGTCTCGTTGAAGTCTCCCCCTCCGTACATGTCTTCGTCGTACCCTCTCAAAGCGTCCATGTCCCCCTTGAGTCGCTTCTTCCTCCTACACTTCCCTACCTTCATTAGATCCGGATGCGACACGTAGTCATAACCATTATAAGGTGGCCACTGTGTTAGGTCAAGATATGGCTCGAAGCTCATCTCCCAAATACTAACGGTGTTCGAACGGAGATACAAGGGTGGCATATATGGCAGATCCTCATAATTGCACCCACGAACCCTGCAGGTCGTGATCATATGAGAGCAAGGGGCATGTATGATCTGAGGGACGTTGCAACTGCACTCTACCTTTTCAAGATCAACTCGGTAGTTTCATCCACCATAACGTTCACCGCCCAAGTTTGTGTCACCCTTGCCCCATACACTAAAGATATGGCGGCGGGGTCCATACGGACCGGCAATGTGCTGCTTGGCCAATTCCTTGACCTCCTTCAAATGTTCTGCTCCGGCCTTTCCAAAACGCCCCTGCTCAGCTATATTCCTCTGCGCAAGTTCCCACCTCTTGACAAAATATTCATTGCACTTATGAAAGGTGAACTCAACAATTCCTGACACAGTCAACAATCGAACTCCGGTGAATACACGGTTGAAGGACTCCGGGGAGTTAGTGGTCATGATGCCATACCTGAAACCCCCCTCGTCATATGCTAACGCCCACTGAGCCTTCTGTTCCATCTGCGCCTCTAACCAGGCCTTTCCCGCTTCATTTACCATCCTGTCTAGTTCTCTTTGTCTCCTTGAATTGGTGTTCTGTACGTACACAACATAGAGCCTTTACCTTGTCACATACCTCCTGCTTCCTCTGACGCCACCAGAAATTAGCGACAAAGTGTCTCATGCACCATCTATGCACTAGAGATGGAAACCCATCTATATGCTCAGCTGCAGCATTAAGAAGCCTTGGGTGACGGTCCGAGATCAAACATATAGTCTGAAATGGGTCTAGCACTTGTACACATAGAAGCCGCATGAACCATGACCACGATTCATTGTTTTCTCCCTCTACCAAAGCAAATGCCATGGGTACTATCTAGTCCTCAGAATCAACAGCAGCAGCCATCATCAAGGTGCCTCTGTACTTTTCTGTCAGGAAAGTGTCATCAACAAGTACGACTGGCCGACAAAATTGGAATGCATGTTTCGTTTGCGCGAACGACCAGAACACATGATAGAGGACATGCCTCACCGGGTCCCGAAAACACATCCCTCCGGTGTCCACAAACCATTTCAAGCCAGGGTTGTAGTAATGCATTGCACATAAGATGCGGGGCACCCTGTAGTATGCTTCCTCCCAACTACCCCATCGAATCGCCATAGCAATTTGCTTAGCACGCCAAGCCTTTCCAAACTTCACATCGTACTTAACGAATCCAGATATGGACTGTTGTAAAGAAGACACCGAAATTGTCATCAACGAGCCCCATTATACGACGGGCAAGGTAACGTGCAGTGAGCTGCTGATGATTTTCCGTCCCCCTATTTGTTAGGCAAGTGTGGGGTTCGACAACTTTACTTATCCTCCACTTGCTATCACTCTGTCTCTTTCGTACATTTAACCTCCACATACAACCGTTTTTGCATATCACGTGGTACCTCAACTCCTGGTCCGAATGAG